ATATCAGGTAATCTCATTTAGATGAGATTAAGATTGAAATTAAATTCCTCATTCTCTCATATAAATTATAAAAGGTGAGATTATTTTATCTCAGTCTTAGCCCTACTCTTCTAATCCTTCCTACCAAACAGAATCATAGAAAAAATTAATATGGAAACTTATTATTTAAGGACCATTGTAGCTAATTTATATTAGTCAAGCATTATAAAATTCTAAAATTTCATTGCAATCCCTAGCTTTTAGCTAAAATTATTTTTTCACATGAAATGACTTTATTATTCCTAAAAGTTAAAATAATAAAAAAAGTCACCCTCACTATTATTGATGTTGGCCACCAAGCCCATTTAATTATATATGGCAAAAAAAAATATACATGTAGTAATTCAAGCAAATCTATATCACTTCCAACTTATAACATAATTGTGTAATGTCAATTCCAAAATGACACTTATTATTTTACTAATATTATTTGTTAATCTAATATGGTCAATTATAAATTAAGAGTTTTAAAACTTTATACATTTTATTTGTTAATGTCCAAACATATGATTGGTAATCATGAATGAATTGTTATTAAAATATGAATAGATACTTGTTAATAAATATTTAACACTTGTATAATTAAGCACATTTTATCAATTTTTCTAAATTGTTAAAACTTGAATGGATGGTTGTTAATTTTGAATGAGTTTTCACTAAAACTCGAATAGATACTTATTGATGAAAGACTAACACTTGTATAATTAAACACATTCTATCCATTTTTCTAACTTGTTAAAACCCAAAAAAATGTTGTTAATTTTAAATGATTTGTTGTCAAAACCAAAATAGATATTTGTTGTTGGTGATTAAAGGCATAAGTCTAGTGAAACAAGTGTATAAACAACAAGTCATTCGGATTTTGATAATAGTGCATTATAAATCAACAACAATTCATTCAAGTTTTAACAAATTAGAAAAACGAATAGGATTGGTTGGATTGTGCAAGTATTGGTTTTTCATCAATAAGTATCCATTTTTATTTTAACAACAATTCATTTAAAATTAACAATAATACACTCAGGTTTTGACAAGTTAAAAAAAATTGATAAGATAGGCTTAATTGTACAAGTGTTAGTCCTTCATTAACAACATTCTTTCAAGTTTTGACAATAATCCATTTGTGATTAGTAACAATACATTCAGACTTTAATAAGTAGAATGCATGAAATTTTGAAGCTCCCTATTTGTAATCGATTGTGTTAGATTAACAAGTAATATTAGTAAAATAACAAGTGTCATTTTGAAATTAATAATATACCATTATATTATAACATAGAAGTGGTTTAAAAGATTAGGTTACTTCACGGACACACACACACACACATTGCCATATATGATTAAATAAGTTTAGTATCCTGTGGTAATCAAGTTTTTTAGATGGTCAAGGAATCGTGGGATCAAACCTCCTTAGTTACCTTTACCAATTATCCTTCAATAAAAGTGTCACCATCATCGGAGCTCTAGTAATTAGCTGTCGGCCACCTCTTTAGTAGTGGTCTGATGGTCGATACTGGTGCCAGTGTGGGTGATTTTTTTTTTATTATTTTAAACTTTAGTGATAATTGAGTCATTTCACCTAAAATTAATTTCATTTAAGGATCAAGGGGTTGGAGTGAAATTTCATAATCTTATGGTCCTTGACTGATATAAACTAACTACAATGATTCTTGATTGATATTTTCCCAATTAATATCTTCAAGCATTGATTGCTATGCATGTGGAATATAGTAGGATAAAATTAAAGGTTAAGGGGTAAAAATGTCCTGAAAATATTCTAAAAAGAGCATTAAGTATCCTTGCTTTTTAATTAGAACAATTTTACCTTGAAACTTATAAAAAGGACATAATTTCTCCTGTTGTTAGTGAGACCGTATGTTGATTATTATTTGACTTTTTTTTTCAGGTGGTAGACGCCTAGCATTTTTTAAGAAATAAAAAAAATCCCTTACATGGAGCAATAGCATTTATGATCTTTCCTTCCTAGAAACCAAATTTAGATTGATGCTGAGAAGGAATCAAAATAACGGCAATGACTCATTTTCATCCTCCATTTTCAACCATCATTCACCAATTTTAAAAGAGCACTTGACTTCATCACTCACCATCATTGAGTTTCTAGGCTCGCAATGTCCAATCAAGTTATTGCTTCTTTGTCAATAGTTAAGTGTAAGCATGTTGGAAGCTCATGCTAAGATGGGATGACATGTTGTGGCTTCTCTTCATTGGAATCGATGATAAGGAAGGTAGGTGGTGCCATCTCCACAGTAGATGATAGTAAGGAGTGTTCTTCGAAGTCTCATAAGTTGTAACCAATAAAGGTCCAATTTAACCCATAGGGGAACTTTGTAGCTAGTTTTTATTAGTAAAGTGGATGACGGTGATGGCTAAACTTTGTTATTGTACTTAGCCTTAATGGCTTCACCAAAACACCCCCCGAGCTTGCTCATGTTATTCAACAAGACTAGTTGTAATTCAGGTCCCATATCAGAGGGACTTGGACTGGGTCCTGGCTATATAAGCAGATGTGTTGCATGCCCTAATGAGCTAGCTTGTTGGGGAGAGAGTAATGATCTCGTAATAAAGTGGTATCAGAGCCAAACTCAAGTTTACTTAATTGATGGGCTTTTCTAGTGGGCCACTCATGGCTGAGGCATTATGGATTGGCCTGAAAAGCTGTCAGATCTTATATCAGAGGGATTTAGAGAGGGTCCTGATTATATAAGCGGATGCTCTGTACATCCTAATAAGCCAGCTTTTTGGGGAGAGCATAATAGCCTTGACATGTAGCTAAGAGAGACCTTCATAAAAAGCTGCGTGGCTAGGATAGTTTTGTGAGTTGCCTTTGTTTATCAAATTAAAAAAAATAAAAAGAGGAAGCAAGAGGAATGAGAAGGCGACATGTAAAGTTATTAGTGAAAAATAAGGTTTAATGATCGGCAATTAGTTTAGATTAATTAGATTAATGGTGGAGCAAAATTACTCTTTTTTAAAAGTTTAAGGACAAAATTGCTTCAACTAAAATGTAAGAGTATTTAGTACTTCTTTTAAAAAAATTTAAAACATTTTTCCCCTTAATCCTAAAATTAACCATGCTGAACATGGATTGAAAAATGTATACACTGAAAACTTGTACTCTTATTTATAGTCACCATGTCAAATCCCAACATAATAAAAAATTGCCAAATGATAGTCTTAAATCAGATAGAGTCTCGTTGAAATACTCAATACATATGCCATTATCCCCGAACATATCCATGGAAGCGTAATAATTAGAACTCTTTCATTGCGCAAAGCCACGATGCAAGCAATTTATCAAGGCTTCTTATCAAGATAATCTATGCACCGACTTTCAACCTTATTTCATGATTAGGAGATGGACATGGAAATTGAGTTCATGAAATTCGTGGAATGAAGCTTCTTAATTTGATTCACACTTCCATTATTCTAAACGTACAACCGTACAATGCACGTATTGATTAGGCAAGCCTATGTAAGTAACTAATTTACAATATCGGTCGGTTCACATCGTCAAATCTTCCCATAAAAAGTAAACATTTTTTCTTTTTGTAAACTAAAAAGTAAACATTTTAATTGTAACAAAAGATATGTCGGCCAAAAAAAAGGAAGGGATATGATAAATATAAAAATAAAAAATTGACAAAGCAATGGTAGAATTTGGTGGATTTGACAGAGAAACTGTCAAGACAGTTCACTGATTAAAGAAAGAGAGAGATTTGACAGTAGCAGGCAACCAATATGGACCATCATCCACACCGTGCTCTGCTTGAACCTTGTCGGGAAGAACCTGAAGATAGACTTGTCTCCAAAATCAAAACCCATAATTTAAAAAAAAAAATCCATAATCCGAGAGAGTAATAATATGATTTGAATAACCAAAATTTAGGTATTTAAGGCGACCAATTTGCTCAGACATTCAAATGCTCCCAACATTCAATAACAAGTAAGGGAAGTCCGTTCTTTTTCTTTTTAATGTCCATGTTTTATTTACTTTTTTTATTCCGTATATCAAACATATCAACAGGATGCAGATTCTTGAAACTATCAAGAAAGAAAAGTTTGAACTCAAATCAAGTGAAGGACCAGCCGTCTTTGACCACATAATACCATCAAAAACGTTTATTGTAAGAAAGGTGCCAAGCATGGTGAACTGTAAAGAGCTCGCAACTTTCTCAGGGTATGCAACTTCCAAAGTCAAGACATCTTGCTTCCACATAACACCATCAAAATCTTGCGTGTGGCATCATGAATCACAGAATTTGACGATCCATTTAAGTAGAGTAGGTCCTTGAAACATCTTGCTTCCACACAGTTTTATTCTCTAAATAATCAAAAGAAGCAACAAAATGCCATTAGGCTGCAAAATTGATTGCTTGATTTCATGTTAGAGACCACCAAAATCATGGTCATGATTATTTCCAACACGAAATCAAGCATGCGCATACACTTATTACAGCATCAACATCGTCAGCTTCCTCTCACAAGGATTGACACAGGTTATGATCTGAATTGAGACAGGACATAATTATATAGATGGAAATAATCAAATAACTCTGGCACCGCCCTATGGAATGCTAAAATTTACAGCGAGAGTAATACTAAGCTAGATAAGTCAAGCATTCTAATGATAGCATGCAAGCCTTCACTTCGAGAAAGATTGACATCAGTCTCTATCACATAGGAGTTACCGAGGGAGAAGTCAAACACTGAATCACTGGGGTTTGTTGTGAACCAACTTTACCAAGGCCCAAAAGGAGCTTGTAGCCAAATGAAATTAAGGGAGCCATAATAAAAATTTGAGCAGAGGCAACTCGAAAAATGAGAAAATAGAAGTTAACACAGAAGATGGTGAACTCTATAATGTTAGAATTACATCTCACCTCTGGGTTTCCACCACTTGTGTGTCAGAGTCAGAGATGAGTTTGCAAGTATCTGCAGCCTCACTTATCCTTTTCTTCCTTTACAATTATTCTTCTGTTTGATGTTAGTTGTCTTCTTCTCATTTGAATTTGACGAACATATTCTGCAACTATGACATGAAACTTAGGAGCCTGTTTACATGCTAAGGAATTGTTTAGGCCTGCCTTCTTCAAGGTCCTTGTGAGATGCTTCTGAGCCTTCTGAAAATGGACGTTGCAGAGAGAAGGAGTAGTGGATCTCAATATAGGTTTTCCGCATGTTATAGGTCCAGCCTGGGCACTGAATATAAACAGAAAATCAATTACAAAGATATCCCATCAAGAACTCAAACTCTCCTATTTATTCATCACAAGGAGTAACCGTTATCATTTTAGCAAAAAATTGATCAGATTTATTTCAAATGGCTATACGTTTAGTTAAAGAGACTTTGAAAAAGCAGACAATTCTAGAAATCAATCCATGGAAATAAGTATAACTAGCACAAGAATTGGGGGGAGGCAGTCAGGCAAAAAAGAACAACAAATTGAAGTGGTATTTTCATTTGGTGTAAGTTCTTGTGAGATGGTAAGCAAGAGTATCCAGGCATCACCCACCACAAGATTAGAAAGCCCAAAGGCTGCCAACAGGAATATCGATTTGATCCAAAGTACAACCACTGGAATATTTGTCCATAACCACACACAAACACAATAAAATACAATTTCCATTGTAAACTCAAGAAGAAGGAAAAATTCTGCTCTGCGTACTGAACACCGAGTCTTTCTGTACTTCACAATGTCCTTATCTAGTATACTTGTATTTGACATACGCAAGAGGATAGGAGCCATCGTGTTCCTACAATCCAAAAGGCATGTGACAACATCTAAGAGAAATCAGAACCACTTCAAGAGTATGTTTGTCCCTAACTTGACCATTCTATACAAAAAGAGTACTCAGCAAGTTCAAAATATACATAAATGCATATTCAGCAATGAGCATTCACACCAGCAGTTGTGCCCCCATTATACACTTATGATACTTCATTCAACCTTTGCTGGTCAAGACATTGGTAGAACTAAATCATTCATAACGTTGACACTTACAGACTTAGTGAACCTCTAGACCAGCAACGGTTAACTTCCAAGATCTTAAATTCAAAAATTTGCATTATCCCATCGCACTTCTGTTCCCCGCTGTTGCAGGGAATTCCAAATATTGAGCTATAAGGTAAAACTTCTATAATAACATCAGACAACAAACTTTTAAGTGGTACCAGATAACACATGGACTCAACTGTTAGAGAAAATGTTCATTATACTTGACCAAGGTATTGGGTTTACATAGTTTCCATATGTATTTTAAGTGAAACTATTAATTTCTCCAAGTTTTCACTGTTGATTTCTCCCATTTATCAAAAGCCTGAGGAAAAGAAAATAATAATGGAAACTAAGGTGGTATTATCTGTATTATTAACATACAAGATTAAACTATAGCTTCAGGTTCAAACCTACAAACTTGCTGCTAAGACATTCTCTCAACAACAGATATTTGTCAGAAACTGAAGGAAACAAAACACATTAATCTACCATTTTAAGACTAATTCAAACACTCACATAACGCAGCTATTCATTTCAGCGCATCACAATTAGACCAGATGCAATTTACCATAATTCACAAGCATCCTATCAAACAATAAATGTCTTTGACAAGTGAATAAATCGAAATTGAAAGCGGCATTAAGCAAAAAGAAACCTCTTGATAACATAATTGCAAGCCTTATAAAGCTTTTGCTTGCAATCGGAAAGAATATGCAAATGGCAGAAGCTTGTCAATGGCATGGCCTTCAACTTACAACCCACGAAAGCGCATCTCTGATTGTTCACAACATCCAAAACAGCTCGACTATTGGATCCATTACAGTCGTTATTCTCACCATTGCCTTCGAAATTGCCTCTTTCTCTCTCCTGCATGTTGCCTTCCCTGAATGGGCTTAGCCCATACTCCCAGGAGTATTCTCTGTACTGGGTCTTGAGGTCCTCCATGAGGGCCCAGTATAAGTCTCGGTAGCATTTGGAAAGCTGACTGAGATAGTGAAAACGACGCTTGAGAAGCTCATGGCGAGTGAGGTAGGAGGCGCGGGAGAGGGAAAGGTTTTCGTGAGAGATTGTGAAAGGAGAAGAAGAAACAGTGGGATTGGGAATGGAAATAGAAGCGGGTTTTGATTCGTCGATAGAAATTTTGGGAGGTTTGGAAGAAGAAGAATAAGAAGAAGAAGAGAGGTTGAGATGCTTGGAGGCAGAGGCAGCCATGAACGCCACCCAGGGGTGAGGAGGGAGTTCGCGCTTCGGCTGAGGAGACAAGGAAGGGATTTATAAATCATAATATAAAATTGTCATACATGGGCGAATAAATAATATATAATTCAACAAATCATTCGAGATTAATTTTATTTCTTGGTTATTTTATTTTTCAAACGTAAACAATTATGTTAGTGATCCATCATTTAAAAATACATTCATATTGTATTTAAACATGAGTTATAATTATAATACATATTAGGGTAAAATATACTGATTACCTTTTTATTATACTTTAATTATATAGATTTTTCCTTTATTTTGAAAATCATATAAACCTCCTTCAAAATTAAAGTACATACTTTCTCCATTTAAAGATATAAAGTATTTTTAATTAAATTTCATTTTAACAATATAATTATTTATTTTTAAACTAACTTTATCTTTTTATATTTATTCTTATTTAATAAGATATTTTATCCTAAAAAATATGAAGTAATTTATTCAATAAAAGTACTTTTGAAAAGCAAAGGTCACGATTACATTTTAAAAGATTAAAAATACTTTATATTTTTTTAAAATCTAACACTTTAAAAAATATTTTATATTTTTTAATGGAGAAAGTATTACATAAACATCCCTTATATATCTAAAATTTAATTTTCATTCCTTTAATCATTAGTTAGCTGTTAAATTTGATTTTTAAACTTTTAATTTGGTCAAAATATCCCTTTTAATAAGAATTATCTAAAAATATATATTTTTTAAAAAATATTTTTCTATATGACTAAAAAATTATAATTAATGTATTTTAAATTTTTTATTTTATTATAAAATTTATTAAATTTTATCATAGAATAAAATTTTATAATTTTAATTTTTATCAAATTTATTGAAAATTATTTATTTATATTTTTAAAAAAATTTAAAAACATATCTCAAACATATTTTTATTTGTCACATAATATAAAATGATATAAATTTGATAGATTTTATAAGTAATTTAAATTTAAAATTTAAAATTTGTAAACATATTTTTTAGGTTAAAATTTGTATATTTGACAGAATAATATAAGTAGGATTTATTATGATGAGCAGTAAATTAATAAATAAAATTTTTTTAATATAAATTTTTATTTAAAAATACATTTTTAATTTTTTTTAGAATATCTCTGACAAAATTAATAGATTGAGTTAAAGTGTATATTTGTAAAATAGAGATAAAATCTGTATAATTAAGTTAAAATATAAGAGTGGTAAAAATATTTTTACTCTATATATTAATATGTCATTTAATTTAATTGTATTGCTATGGAAACTCAACTTTTCAGAAAGTATATTCCATGAAAAGTTACTTGTTTTTTTTAAGAATTTACATTTACCTTTTAGAAATATACTCCCTCCATTTAAAAATATAAAATATTTTTTTCTCACCCTTTAATAAAGTAATTACTTACGTTCAAACTAATCATATCTTTTCATATTTATCCCTATAAATAAAAAGTCATTATCAATAGGAGTACTTTTAAAAAAAAAGATAATAATTAAATCTCAAAAAACTAAAAATGCCTTATATTTTTTAACATCTTACTTTTCAAAAAATGCCTTACATTTTTAAACGGATGGAGTATATTATTATTATTTAAAAGATAAGATGTTAGAGAATATATCCTACTTGAGTATGTATTAGTTTCATAAATTTTGATTAGGTATAATTTTATTTTTTATAATTTTACTTAGCTAAAACTTAATCATTAAATTTTAACCAAAAATGATTTAATTCCTATGATTTGATCAATTAAAATATTGATGTTTATATTTTTAAAAATAAAATTTTGATGATTGAAATTGTTTCATTAATCATAAAATCCAATGGTTTAATGTGAGACTTCTTTTGGTTGAAAAAATTGCGAGACTTCTTTTAATGTACATATACACAAAATTACAACAACAACCCACATGTGTTAAAAGAAAATCATCATATGAATTACAGTTATAAATATAATCATATCAAATTTGATATTCATATTATCTTTTTAATTATGAATAATATATAGATCTATACTACTCAATATATAGAGAAGTCAACAAAACATGTTTCTACGAACCAACAACTCTTGATTGTATATTGAAAGCCTTAAAAGAATATCATCATATAAATTATAGTTATAAATATAATCATATCAAATTTGGTATCCATGTTATCTTTTTGATTATGAATAATATATAGATCTATACTACTCAATATATAGAGAAATCAATAAAATATGTTTCTACGAACCAACAACTCTTGTTTGTATATTGAAAGCCTTAACATAATATCATCATATGAATAATTTAAGATTAATAATATATAGATGAACTTTCTTGAGATAGTTTTTTTTTTTGTGGCTTTAGTCTCATATTAGTTGATCTTTATCTTGAATTTTTTGTGTTTGGCATTTGAAGATCAAAGAATACACAATTGTACACTAATTTTGTCATGATAATAACAATGGAAGCTAAGTGTGATAATCGTAATTTGTTAGCATAATTAATTTTGCTATTACATTATATTATTCTTATTTAAGTTTTAGTTTATTTTGAAATTGAACGTAGTTGTTATTGAAGAATAGGAGGTTGAAATTTAAGAGGAAACTCTTGCCTTAATTTTTTTATTGTATTTGTTAAATGTTCTAATATGCATATATTGGTATTCTTGGTTTAAGATTATAATTGTATTAAGTTAATTGAAAAACTAAAGATAAATTACAATATTGTTTGATAGATTTTAGTTACATTATGCTTAAAAAACTTTGATCTGGATGAATTGATATGCTATATTATTGAATTTGGTTATTTGGGATGTTCCACTTTTAGGGAGAATTTTGCCAATTTTTTTTAATTCTAAGTCTTTGTTTCTTTAATTTCTATGACTATATATGAATCGTAAGTAGATGTTAGCTAATTGACTATCTAGACAACATTGGGATAGTATGGATGGGTTTATCAAGTTTGCATTTTATTTTGATCAAGACCCCTATGGAGTCATATGTCCTTATTTAAAATTCATATGTCCTTATTTAAAATGTTGCCATGAAAAAAGAGTAAGGTCTATAGAATTGAAAGATCATTTGATATGTAATAGAATTAATCCAACTTACACTTGTTAAACCATTCATGGGGAGACAAGAAATAATGCAAATAAATGAAGGAATAGTGCGAACTACTTAGCATTTGATCATAATAGTGGGACATGTGATGTTGACCATCTCAACGAAATGATTGATATGATTAAAGAGGATCTAAGAGACTGTCTTGAAATGTTTGAAAGGTTGAAGAGCGATGCTGATAAATCATTTTACATCGGTTGTAAGAAATTCACAAAATTATCAGTTGTTATGAAATTGTACAATCTGAAAGCAGTTAATAGATGGAGCGATAAGAGTTTCACGAATTTGCTTGAACTCTTATATGAGATATTATTGGAGCATAACAAGCTTCCACCTAATACTTATAAGGCTAAAAAAGTGCTGTTATATTGAGATGAGCTATAAGAAGATATATGCATGTTTAAATGATTGTGTCCTCTTTTAGAAAGAGTATTCAATCTTAGATAAGTGTCCAAAATGTAATGCATCATGATAAGAGAAATAGATGTAGCCCGACAAAGGTGTTGTGGTATTTTTCAATTATACCAAGATGTAAACACCGTTATAACATTGTAGAAGATGATAAACACTTAACATAGCATGCTGACGAGAGAATTAAGAATGGCAAGCTACGGCACCATGTAGATTCTCCTCAATAGAAAAAAATTGATCTTATGTACCTCGAGTTCAAGGTTGAATATAAAAACCTACTCCTTGTATTGGCCACTGATAGAATGAACCCTCATAGCATGCAAAGTAGTACTCATAGTAAATGGTTGGTGATTTTGATGATCTATAACCTTGCTCCAGCATTGTGCATGAAGTGCAAATTTATGATGATATCATTGTTGATTTTTGGGCCTCAACAATCAAGAAATAATGAAGATGTATGTTTAGCTTTATTGATTGAAGATCTGAAGATACTGTGGGAGACAAGTATGGAGGTTTATGATGGATATAAAGAAAAAAATTTCATCCTGTGAGTAATGTTGTTTAGCACCACGAATGACTTTCCTGCTTTTGGTAATTTGTCAGGATATGATATCTAAGGGCAAGATGCGTGTCCAGTTTATGAGGAGTATGCTTGTTCAATGCGATTAGAACATTGTAGGAAGAACGTTTTCACTGGTCATCATCAATTTTTGTTGCAAATACATCATTACCGACAGTTGAAGAGGGCCTTTTATAGCTACTCAAAAAAGAGTAAAGTTCCTTTACTATTAATCGGTGAACAGCTTTTAGAAAAGGTTAAATATTTAAATATTGAGCTTGGAAAACCATTTGTAGGTAAGGTTGTTAAAAATGATTGAAAAAAGAAGTCCATATTCTCTAAACTACCAAACCACAAGACTCTAGATATTAGGCATTTTTTTGATGTGATGTACATTGAAAAGAATGTCTGTGACAACTTTATTGACACATCATTCTACATTTCAGGAAAGAACAAGCATGGTATCAATGCAAGGATGGATATGATTAGTAAGGAGCTAAGAAAAAAGTTGGCACCAAAGAAGAAGGAAAAATGCACTTTTCTCCCTCCAACAGCTCACACACTATCCAAAAAGGAGAAATTGACATTTTGTGAGTTCTTGCATGGAGTTAAAGTGCTAGAAGGATATTCTTCAAACATCAGTAGCCTTGTATTTATAAAAAACCTCAAACTATTTGGCTTGAAAACGCATGATTGTCATATCATCATGGAAAATTTATTACCGGTAAGTACATGTGTAACAGCCCTCCTCAGGATCTCACCGTTACCCGAGGTGCTGGACACTCTCCCCCCAGGCCCCACAACAGGGCGACCCCACCCCTTACGGTGAGCATCAGGAGACAAAGGCTTCCCCGCAGTAGTGTGCGGATTATTCCCCTTGCGGAGAGCCT